ACACACACACACACACACACACACACACACACACACACACACACACACACACACACACGTTTGTTCTTCAACCCTGTAGGAACCTTGCACTGACTTCCATTCATTTTTTTTTATTTAAAGCCTAACCCTGACCATTTACCCTAAAATTAACCTCACATGTACTTACCTGACCCTAAAACTAACCTAAACCACGATGCACTTCAGTCCCCACGAGGCTGCCTTTTTGGGAAAATTCTCCCCACATTGTAGGAAAAATCCGTCCACACACACACTCACCCTTGCGCAGATTTGAACGAGGTGGGACAATTCTACTATGTTTTAAAAACTGTGCAGTTTTGCCAGACGTACGATATTTGTCATATTTGTACGATAATTTCGCCCTCTGTACGATATACGATCAATAATTTAAAAAAACATTGTACGATAATTTGACCATTTCAATACGTGATGTAATACGACACACGGCTCGCTGACATGAGAGGTGGCGGGTTGCGAAACACGGCAGTGCCAATTTAGCAACTTTGTCGCTATATTTACCGAGTTTTCAGACGCCTCTAGAGGCTGTTTTTCAGAAAGGCAACTAGTGAAAATCTAACGACTCTTTTTCTGGTGTTATTGGGACTTATAGAGACTCTGAACGCAGCGGGTGCTGCTATGAGCTCCGCCCCGGTCCCAGAGCACCGACAGAAGGCTTCTTCACACTGTGTACCTCTCTGCTGCAGACAGATATCCATCCCATCCAGACTTGAAACGAATCATGTTAGTAAGAAGCTGCTGCTGATTGATCCATGATGGGATGTTTATTAAAACATTTCTATGGCTAAAATAGAGCCCTATAAAATAACTGTCTTTTTTGCCAGTCCAGCCATAATAAAAAGGAGCATTAGAGCTGTGACAGTAAAATAAAAATAATAGCCTAACCCATATATATTAAAAAGGAGCAACAGAAGAAATTTTACTTTTTGTTCTCTTGACAAACTACTGTCTCTAAAGAGAAGGCAGACTGCCACGACACAGTCACCAGTGTTTTTTTAAACCCTATTAAAACTCTGCTGCTTAGGCTACCAGCTGATCAAATAATTAAACGTCCAATGTGACACAAAAAAGATGATTCATATATTGAGTTGAATGAAGAATACGTATGTCTCTAAAATAGTTATTAAAGTGTTTATTTATGTAGTTTAAAATATGTTTTAACAACCAGCTAATATAGCAGAATGCAAGAAACAGCACCCACTTTATTCAAAATTTTCTGGGGGAGAACCCTAGACCCCCTCCCACATTGTGGTTATGATGACAATAGCAGCAAAGATGAGTTTAATTGTAGCACTATGTGAAAGAAATACTAACTGTAAAATTAGAAAGAAAAAGGTGGGACTGAGAAAGTGAGGTGTATAAGCAACACTTAGGTTTGATAATCATCCAGGTGTCATCCAGAAGCTATTTTCAAAAGAAAAGAAAGGTTTTTGGAGGATTGCAGATTAAATTTACACAATATGCACTCAATTTTTTTCTTAATCAAAAGCATAAACAACAAAACAAAGACTGGGAAATGGGTGAGGTCAGCTGACCTCAGTTTTAGCTTTGCGCTGTGCTCATTTTAATTCCCCCTACCTATTTAGGATTAGTAAAATCATTTAAATATGAAAAATGTTTTTGCAAAACTAATAGATAAAATAGTAAAAAAAATATTAGGAATAAAGACTTCTGAGTTCTGGTGCATTGGTGCGTGCGGGGGTCATTATGTTACTGCTATGCGGTATCCAGTTTACTTTAAGATTATTTGTTCCAATACTTTTGCTTACCTAATGGGCTCGACACACGGGGAGTGACAAACTACAGAGATTAACGGCTGTCATCGCAGCCAGGGTGAAACCCGACACACGGGACGCAATAGCGACGGCAGCGTTGCGAATCGCGCTCTCAGGTCACTTGTCTTCACGAAATTTGATTGGTTATTCTACTGCCTCTTGTAAAGGTTATTGGTGGTTCATAAAAAGTGGGGTATGCATTACGGACGTGTAAACTAAACAAAACTTGCGATGCTAATGATGTTGACAAACAAATGCATGCTAAGATACAATTTTATGAGGTAAAACTTACCGGATAACTTCACCCTGGCGCCAACAAATTCCCACAAAGCTGCCTTTTTTAGTAATCACTTGGTGAAAGTGTTAGCTAACGGCAGTGTGTAGCATACTCTCCTCTCATTGGTCAGTCAATGAAACCCTCGCTGATTGGTTGTACGCTAAGCGACAGCGACAAAAGTTGAACATTTTTCAACTTTCATATGTCGCGTTGCAAGGACCTCTACGTGTACGAGTGTGAAATTTCACATGCACTATTTTCGCCGGTCGCTTAGCTGGAGGAGGGCAAGCGATTGTCGCCTCACCACACAGGCTCCATAGGAAATGAATGGAGAGCGAGCGACGTCGCCTCCTGTGTGTCGAGCCCTTAAAAATGCTGTGGTGTATTACAAATGGTGATATATCCTAAGTTGTTTAACACATCTACATGTAAATACAAGTAAATAAAAGCTGACATTCTGAACTCTTGTCTCATGCTCATCTTTTGATCTTAAACCCAAATGTCTTCAGTGTACAACAAAAACACGGGAGTTTGACTTGCGGTACCAATACATTTAGAGGGGACTGTAGGTTAATACCAGGAAACCACTCAATAAAACATAAATAATTTAATGAGTGAATATTTATCATCAGCACTAGATGATAGTTATAGGGTAATGTGGATTAGTCTGATGTCTCAAATGAAAGTTTTTCTTCCATGTTTTTGTATTTTACAGCTTTGTCGTACATATCAATGCAGTTATTTAGGCTAATATATTTGTGTTGAGATTATTCTGTACATTTAATTGAGCTCATTCATTCTTGCAGGATTGTTTATGACGTGAACACTCTGATCTGACAGCCGTCCAGTCATGGTGCCATGGTGGAGCACCAGAAACATCTGCAGGTCAGCTGCAGCATGGTGTCACCTGCTGTTTTCATCACTGCTACTGCAAACGGTAAATCTCTACAGCACAGTGTGTTCAATCTGCAAGTGCTGAGTAACCAGGAAACCATATGCAAAAGTCATCCAGTGTGTGTTTTAAGAGCAGATTTGAAAATGGGAATTTAGTCGGCCTGTCTAGTGTGCAAAGGCAGTTCGTTCCACAGTTTAGGAGCAGCGACTGAAAAACTTGGTCACCTCTCAGCCTCTTCTTTGATTTTGGGCGACCAACGAAAAGTGATCTGGTGTAGAGTTTCATTCAGGCCTAAAAAAAATCCAACCCGACCCGACAAATTAACTCAAATAAGAGGCCCGAACACAAAGCAAACCCGACATGTTATATTAATTAAGCTTTACTACTTTTGTGGCTTTGTAGAGGGAGTTCTCCCCTTTTTAGCTTTTGTTTACTTTCCAGCTTCTAGTGGTGGACAATTTGGCTGAAGTGCAAATCCGCTAATTGTGGACCTAAATATTCTGTTTGCGCTTTAGCGGTGTTACTAATTCTTATAACTCATAAGTGGACTTGCATTTTCTAAAATTAAAAGCGCAACAGTCACCTCTCCCTACCCGAGGCTGAAGGTCAACGGACGATCATGCTAAGCTTGCTAACTGTTCCACCCTCTGACTGCTGCAGGGGCGTGTCTTAGAGGGAGGCTTTTATACCATAACACAGCCGCTGTGACGAAACCGTGGAGAAGACACGTCACCGTGGAGAGCCGTTAACCAATATGCAAATTAGCCTGCAGTACCACTGCTCTACCCATDTGRRCAGCAAAAASATGTTTTTAGACCAAATATTACAGATTTGAACAAATACGCACAAAAACATCAAAATTAGCACAGAAACAGTACTATATAAAATTTTAGACACATTCTAAACAGTTTATCAGCTAAAAAAGTTAATTTTGGGGTAAGTTACTCTAGTTTTCAGTAATTTTTCTATGGCATAAGTGTTTTTGAAGTTGGGGACCTAAATATTATCATAAATGCTTTAGAAATTGCGAGCTAATTTTTGGGTTAGCACTGCCCACCACTGCCAGCTTCATTATAACCCCAGCTCCACCGACGATGTGGTTCAGTGTAGGCTGAATGTGTCTCCATTAGGTTCCAACCGTGCACAACCTTCTCTCCGGTGGTTCGAAGCGAGTGGGCTACAACACGCTTACAGTTTTGACGTCAGCAGAATTCTGCCCGTGGATTACCTCTTGGATTGATTGACAGAGTAAAGATGGAGAGAGCACTTTTGTTTTGGAATATGAGCATGCGGCGCAATGCAACAACATGGTGAAAACAGTGATAAAACCATGGTCTAACCTTTTTGGTGATCTTGGGAAAGGCAGAACTTGCAAATACTTCATGGAGTGAGGTGAAGGAGATGCTGGGCAGATAACTGGGAGGCTTTGAACAAACTGGCCTCCCACAGTTACACAAGCACTTATAAACAGCACCACAACAAAAAAATCAATGAATAAAGTCTGAACGGTAAAACCAACAGCTGAAGCCGCCTGTTAATCATTCCCACAGAGTGAGGAACACACTGAAATGGAGACACGCACACAGAACCGAACAGACCCACCATGCATCTTCCTCTAAGAGCAAAGCAGGGCAGGTGGCACCAGCAGCGCTATTTTCTTTTCACAGTCTTCATTTCTTCACTCTATTTTCTTTCTTTCCTCATCCAGCATAGTAAACTTACAGCCTCCTCCTCTTTTACAATAAGTAGATTAACACAATTTAACATCATGCTCGTTTATTCATGCTCAACTCGTTTATTTTTCTTTATGCTGTATGATTTTTAAAACTGCAACTGAAGCCCAAACCTGACCCGCCCCACCCATCAAGCACATATCGTATTTATTCTAGTATAATACGTAAAATTTAATCCATAAAATCATCCATAAAGTTGGGGGGTAGGATTATACTTGGACAAACATTTTTACTTATGTATTTTAACTGAAATATCGGCTTCACTTGCAAAATGCCTCAGTCTGGAAATGAGACCACGACGTAAAAAGCAGTTGAAACGAGCTTACCTGTGACACTCCGTCGTGATTCTGAGCGAAATAACAGATCCAGGCAGGCGACATGATGTGAAAGAAAGGGGGGAAGCAGTCCTGAACCTTAGTAATGATAGCAAACTAATGACATTAGTGTGTGACCGAGCCGCTCCTGTCACAACAACAAACACATGTTCTTCTGTAATGGCTGCCATCTACCGGTGTTCTGAAAACGTTTGTATCCCTGAAAAAAGTTTCCCCACCAGAGGGGGCGCTTGCGAGTAGGAAGTAATCTGCTTTTCCCCCACAAGATGGCCAAAATCTCAGGTGAAGTCTCTGACTTTTGTGTTGGCGCCTCCTGGTGGACTATGTGTAAAATGCCAGAATTCATATGATGCTGCTACAGCTGATATATACTGTATTTGTTGTCAAAATACCTTTTAGTACATATGTTGTGAAAATATAATGAACAGTCCAATGATCATTTTACTGATATGTATAAAGACTGCAAARDHTGAAAAATCTTGAAGTCTGTATGAAATTGGAGGTAGTTTGAGGATTAAATTTTTTTTATGCTTTTTAAGCTAAAAAAAAGAGACATGAGATCGTTTTATACACAAATAAATACGGTAATTTGCATTTATGAAACCCGGCCAGAAATCTCAACTCTAATCTGGTGACCTGAGATCACAAGAGGGTTGGAGCAGGTCAGACAGATCTTTTGGGGCGAGACCATGGAGACATTTAAAAATAAACTGTAGAACTTTAAAAGTACTTCAGAAACAAACAATGTAGCGATTCTAAAACAGGCGTGAAATGCTCTTGTCTTCTGTGTAGGGGTCACCTCGAGTGAAATAATCAAGGAAAATGTTTGGGTCCTGCAACTGTTGTTGACTGATTTTAGTTTCAGTTTCATTTTCTGAGATTTCAGGTTGAATATCGCTAATGTTGTTAGCAAGTGTGTCTGCTCTCACAGTTAGTGTCAGCACGGCTGCCTTAAGGTTAGATTTGTTATCATTGAGTGTGGATGAGTTTTGTTTACACTTTGAGGTTGAGGAGATTGTTCTGCCTCCTGAGCTGTCCAGGGTAAGACACTGGGTGCTAAACTCAGGAGGGAGTTTGATGGGCAGTGGCTGTTTTGCCTGTGTCCAAAAATTTTGATTTTTGACATCTGTCAGCGGTTGAAGGTGTTTTAGTAGGTCTCTGCCTATCAAGAACGGCTCGATACCTTCTTTTGACACATAAACTGGTGTTTAAATGTAATTTTTCCTATCTGCACTTGTATTAGCGATACAGTGGATAGGGTAGATTCATCTTGAGGGTATGTTTTTATGTTCATGCAGCAAGTTTGGGTGTTTACCTTCTTTTTATCATGTTTCGCAGCTTTTTGTAGTTCTTTTAGCAGTGCAGCAGACATGATAGTTATGTCTGCACCTGTGTCTATGAAGCTGACATGCTGCGAGTCACGTCTTATCTTTGTCACTGAGATGGTCAGTCCAGGTGTAGTCCTGGTTTGCTTGAATCACAAACACCAGTTTGGGTGTATGGTAATTCAAGGTCCGAGGTTAAACTTTCTGCGTCAGCAAAGTCCTCTACAGTCTCACTGTCTGAGTTTTCTGAGTCCATTGTTTAATCAGTCTGAGTCTTCAGACCTGTGTTTTTGGAACTTTGATGTGTTTTTGTGTAGTTTAAAGTGTATCTTACCCCACCGTGAGAAGATAACTCCACCCCAAGGCGAAATTTGAAAAAATGCATCAAAGTGGGTGGTGGTGGGGGGGGTTAGAGAGCTTAGGTGTGGCCAGGACGAGAGAACGCGACAGCTAGCATTAGCATAATTGATGCTACATGGAGAGTGACCACAGCGATGCAGATAGTTACATCTCTAAACGGTCTGAGGTGGAGGATTTTTCACCCCCTCCTCACCAGAGGCAGAGAGAGAGACTTGATCAAGTCATCTCAGTCTGGGACTGACTCATGTTGGCTCCCTCGATCAGGACCTTGAGCTCCACCAGCCTCGGCTGAGCTGTCCGCCTCACACCACACCAGCACTGGACAGAGGAGGAGG